TTTAAAAAAAAAAAAAAAAATAGGAATTTAAAATTCGCAAAAACTCGTGGAGTTACAGGAAAAATCAATAATTATCGAAATTAGAAGAAAAGATCTCAATCTCTTTTGCTTTCTTCTTCTATGAGATGGGAAGTGATATGATGAATGTTAATTTAAAAAAAGGAATTTTGTTGCGAAAATTATGAAATTTCATTTACGGTGTTATAATAAAAATTGTAAATTTCCAATTTAATTTAAATTTTTCGTTGGGAACTTTGGAAAATTTAGTTTAATTTCAAAAAAATTTCCTTGCTTTTTCTTTTAATTCTATACGAAATTCCGAATTTGAAAAAAAAAAAAAGAAGAATCTTTGCTCTTGAATTGTAAATTTCCAATTTGGTTTAAATTTTTCGTTTCGAACTTTGGAAAATTGATTTTGTTTTTTCTTTCAATTCTATAGTCCGAGTGTTAAATTTGAAAAAAAAAAAAAGAATCTTTGCTCTTAAATTGTTATTTCCAATTTAATTTAAATTTTTCGTTAGGAATTTTGGAAAATTTAGTTCAATTTCAAAGAAATTTCCTTGCTTTTTCTTTCAATTTTAATTTGAGAAAGAAAGAAGAATCTTTGCTCTTGAATTGTAAATTTCCCATTTAGTTTAAATTTTTCGAACTTTGGAAAATTAATTTTGTTTTTTCTTTCAATTCTATACGATAATAGAATCTGAATGTTAAAAAAGAAGAAGAATCTTTGCTCTTGAATTGTAAATTTCCAATTTGGTTTAAATTTTTCGTCGAGATATCGTAAAAGTTCGAAAAAGTCAGTTCAACTTCAATGAAAATTTTTTCCTTTCAATTTTATACGAAAATTGTCCGAGTGTTAAATTTGAGAAAAAGAAGAAAGTGGAATCTTTGCTTCGAATTGTAAATTTTCAATTTAAAGTTTTCGAAGTTGAAGTAGAATATTTCGGAAAGAATTAACTTATTTCAACCCCTAACTTGCATACCATCCCAATTTAATAAACTCTCATCTACATCCCTCAATTCGAAGATTCGGAAAGGAAATACGGATAAATTTCTTCTTATCCTTCAATACGATTCCTTAAAAAAAAAAAAAAAAAATTCTTTTTTTCCGGGGAAAAAATTCGCGCGAAAAAATAGCGATTCTTTCACGACAGATTCGTAAACAATGGGATTTTCAATTTATCAAATGAAACAATCTGTGGCCAATTACCGACTCCGTCGCCGCTTTCAACGGCTCGCTGTTCTTCCCGTGAAAAACAATCGAATCGAATATAATTGCCGAAACAAATAAAACGGCTCGTCGAAGAATGGGGGCGAGTCGGGAAATTTATTTTCGTCGTTTGCACCGACAAGTAGAAAAATCGATTTTATCGAGGAGAATTAGGTTGCGAGTTTAACGCTCGTTTCGTAACAATTTTAAATCAAACAACGAGATAAATAAATAAATCTATCCGATTTTTGGATAGAAAAAAAAAAAAAAAGAACTATACGACGCGTTCGATCAAATTAGAATTCATTCCGTTTAAAAATGATGAACGGTGAAGAGTGGTGAAGATAGATGGAAATTTTTTTTATGACGTTATTTCATTTTATTTATTTTGACAAATTGCGGAATGAAACTCGTTCGTGACAGAGAATGTAATAGAATATTTTAAATACGAAAATGTATTTCTGTTTCGTTAAAAAAAAAATATAAATCTCACGTATCCTTTGTACACGTATATTGATATACGTTTAAAGAAAAAAAAGATTGTAAATTTATGCTTAATTTTAACGTAACGTGCAATTATTTATCGTGATATTATTTACATTAAAATATAAATTTTTAAAAATATTATTCTTCAGTTATAATCTTATTACATTTACATTTACGTTTATATTTATTTTCCTTTTTTTTTTTTTTAATAACTGAATATTAAAAATATTTTGACGGCGATCAAAAAATTTTCGAATTTTTATACTCTTTACCTATGGTTCCGTTTATTTCCAATTTTTATTTCCAATAATTAAACATTGAACATAATATTATTTACTACCAAAAATACAAATATTAAGATTATTAATACACGCACAATTTAATGTTAAAAACAATGTGCTATTCAACTGTATAAATTTGCCTTTTCAGTGTTAACTAATAATCCATT